GGGAAACCTCCCTCCCCAGAGAGGCCCCGATGTAAGACAGAGGTCTCTGGCAATGCAGGTGGCCAAAACAAGCTGCTGGACAGTCAAGGCCAGGGCTGCTGTGGATGTGAGGCTTTATTTCAAGCAAGTCCTCTCTGGTAGCCACGGTCCACCCTGATGCCCAGCAGGGCTGGTGGGCGGGCTGAGAAGCTGCCCAGTGTAAGAGCCCAGCTGTCCCCTGTCCACCGTTGCTCTTGGAGCTCAGGCCACCATAACTGTTCTTCCTGGAGGAGAAAAGTGAAAGGAAAGCCGTCCTGTGGATTGGTGGCATACTGTGTTGTTTGTTTGTTTTTTATTTGGAGCCACTTCATACATTTACTTTGTGAATGCACTTTTTTTTCTTAGGCAAAAATATGAGTGTCAGTTTCCATCACCAGCTTAAAAATCGAGGTAGAGCAGTGGTCTCAGCAAGGGCTCCTGGAGAGAGGGCTCCCAGCCCTCTTAAAGCTGACATTGATGTCTTTGCCTGGAATAAAAACGCACTTTTTTTTCTTAGGCAAAAATATGAGTGTCAGTTTCCATCACCAGCTTAAAAATCGAGGTAGAGCAGTGGTCTCAGCAAGGGCGCCTGGAGAGAGGGCTCCCAGCCCTCTTAAAGCTGACATTGATGTCTTTGCCTGGAATAAAAAAATAAGTGTCTGTGAGTCATCTCTGAATTTGCATTACAAACAGCAATGCAAATAAATGCCACCCTGTCCGCATAACCTACAGATTCAAAAATACGTTTCGATTGGTGCCTTTTAAGAAAAATATGTTTACCAAAATCCTGACATTGTCTAGTTAAGTATTCGGTTTGAGTTTTTGCTTGTGTTGATGACTCGTTTTCTCTTTTGTTTTCTGTTTTTGTTCTTGGTTTACCTTAACCTACCTGCTGACTCACGCCATCCAACCAACATGCAATGCGAAAACCCATGTCTCCGTCTGTATGTTGCACACCTGCTGCTCAAACCACCCCACTTTGTAAATAATACGCAAATATCCATCCCTGACAACATACATAGGAAACGGTTGGTTTCGTGACTTTGAACGGTTCTTCCACTCTTTGCTTTGCTTGCTCTGCCCGCTGTTTTCTGTTCCTGGGGACTCCATGCCCACTGCCCTCTGAGGCATGTGGTGGATTTGGCTGTGCCCATGCACCTCTGGCCTCTTGTGCACTCTCCCCGGGCTCCTGGGGGCCCAATAGGGGTTTCTGAGGGCCCTCCCAGGAGCTCTTTGATTCTGGGAACTGGCCTTGGGCAGGGCTGCCCAGGGACCTGGCCAAGGAGGGGAGGTAGGGGTTTCTGGAGTGGGTTGTGGGTGGGTGCCTAGGGCAGTTTTTCCTTTTGGGACTGGCTCAGACTTGGGGAGGTTTTGCAGGACATGAGTTTGGTCCTGATCCCTCCAAGTCCATGGTGTCTGCTGCACAATCATCTCCTCTCCGCTGTCCCCATCACGCCATCTGACAAAGAAGTCTCAGCTGTCCCCAGGCAGCCTCTGGTGAGGTCCCCTGTACTGTCTGCTCTTCCTGGACAGACTCTTCCTTGGGGGGTCGGGCCTGGGGCACCAGGGCTGGAGTGGAGTGTTTATAGATTCTTTCTTCACGATTCAGAAGGGGTCATGTTGGGCTTGAGTAGAAGAGGGGGCTCTGTCTCAGGAGAAGGCGGAGGGCAGGGCGCCCCATTCTCGCATTATTCATTTGTGTGTGTGCCCCGGTCGGCGAGTCTGCCACAGTGCGGGTGCAACTGGGGCTTCCTTCCCAGTCTTTGGGAAGTTTGAGAGGAGAGCAAAGGTATTTGGTAGCAGACTCAGCTTCAGCCGTGACTGTGGAAATTCATCTACAGCAGCAGATACTTTAGATTCCTGTTGCAGGAAGTGAGTGTTTGTGACACAGTGTTTGACAACTGGAGCAGAAAAACTTGACTTTTGGGAAAATGTCATTTGATGCTGCAGAAATATCCAGGCAATGTCATCTGCATGGCGTCCGGCTCACGTCACTCAGGCTCAGATAAGGCTCTGTCACCTCACTGGAGAGTCCTCTATCTGTCCCCCGTCCTTTTTCCTATAGCACACATCACCATCTAACGTATCGTGTGCATATATGCATATTTTTCTTTCCTTTTTTTAATCATCAGTCCCCATTAGAATGAAGGTGAGTATGGGAGCTGTTTCTTTACAGCTGCCAGACCTTGTCCCCTGGCGTGATGCGTGGCCCACAGCAGGTGTCCACAGACCTGGGCTGATGCTTGAGAGCAAGCCCTCACTTTCCTGTGACAGGCCAGAGGCTGTGGTGGGCTTGGATGCAAGGGACACCGTCATGGTCTGGGGTCAGTTGGTCCTCTTTGTGGGCAGTGTCTTACCATGCTCTGTGCACTTCTAAATTCTTTTTCTCCATTACTCCTCACTGCCTGGGCATGGATGTCCCCAAGGCCTCCACTTTGTGGAGAAGGAAGTTAAGGGTTAGGGATCAGCATCCCCTTGAAGTGAGTCAGGCACCACACTGAGGGGTGCGTGATGTGCCTTTTGGTGCGCTAAGACCTTTCCTGAGTCAGAGTTAGGTGGCAACAAGAAAGGGCCTGGCCTTGTGGTGGGTGTCGCTGCTTCCTGGTGCAGCAGAAACCATGGACTCTGGGTGGACGGGGCTGGCATATGCACCCCAGGGGTTGGCTGAGGCCAGAGGTGATGGTGCGCGGCCATGGGAGGCTGCTGTGTGCTCGCTGTCCCTGCTGTCCTGCATGCAGTTGGCACATGGTGCCTGCCCGCCACGCTGAGCTGGGGCATTTGTGGCTGCTGTCACCCTCGTCTTTACGGCTCTCAGGCTGTCTGTCTGCTGGGAACCCACCAGAGCCCCAAGAGAGGAGCCTGGGAGCAGGGAGGGGCAGAGTCTCCACAGGAACAGTGCGTGACTATGGCTGAGTTTTGCATTCGTTCATTGAGTGGTTTGGATGGACCGTTATTCTCCACGATGCCTTTTCGTCTGCCCTGTCGTCTTCCATCCCTTCTTTCTTACCTGGGAACCTTTATTTTCCCCAATATCTGCATTGAGTGGTTTGGATGGACCGTTATTCTCCACGATGCCTTTTCATCTGCCCTGTCGTCTTCCATCCCTTCTTTCTTACCTGGGAACCTTTATTTTCCCCAATATCTTCATGAAATCCTGCCCATGCCAGCTGTCTGCCAGTTGCTTTGAGCTGGGCAGGTGCTGTGTTGTCACAGTCCCAGCCCCTCCAGACCCACTGGAGCAGGTGGCTTCACAGTGGGACCCCCAGCAGGCCCGGCACGTGGGAGCCCCCCTCCCCTGCTTTGCTCCATCATCTTGTGCAAGAGATCTCCTGACTCTGGAGACAGCGTCCCCTCCCCGCCACACCCACCCTCGTCGGGTGGCTGGCTCATCCGCGAGTCCTCAGAGTGGTAAGTGGGCAGCTCTGGCCCACCTTGTGGACCACAGAGATTGTTTCCCTGGCACCAGCAAGTTAGGGAGCTGCAGGCACACCTCAGAGAGTGGACCTCCGAGGTCCGCTTCTGTCCTCTTGCTGCCGTAGACCATGGTCGGCCCCTCTTTGCTCCCACTGATCCCTGTGGGTATTGTCCCAAACTGGTCCTGTTCAAAAGGCGGCTCCAGCGTCCTGCCCATGGTCCAGTTCCGCAGTGTAGCTGTAGGTCTCCTGCCAGCGGAGACAGTCCAGAGTCCTCAGCCACCCTGGTGGGAACCAAAGAAATCTGCCCTGAGCATGGAAGCGGCCAACAGGTCAGAGGTGTCCTTTGAATGTGGTTTGGGCTGCTGTCCCACCCTGCCACCGAGTGCCTCGTCAGGGAAGACGGGCTGCTTGGTGAGCTGGGTGCCCTGCTGCCCCCGGGCCTGCACACGACCACCAGTGCTGCCGTCTCTCACTCAATATCCGTGTTCTCTTTTCTCCTTATTTGATGACTGAATCCGACAACACAAACATGTCTGAGCCTGAGCTGCTTGCGTATTTAAAAATACAAAAATGGCAGGAAGCTGCTCTCAGGCTGTGTGCAGGTTACCTGGTCTCTAAGTAGACGGAGGGTGGAAAGCCACTTGGGTCCACAAGCACAGCACCTATGCCTGGACACTGCCCCAGAGCCATGCTTCCCAGAAAGGGATGTACCAGCAATTCACAGTGCCCTGGGGCCAAGTGCAAGCCTCACTCCCAGGTAGTCTGTGGAATACAGTGTTCACGGGTTTAATCTGTGCTTGATTTCAAGCCCCTTGGATGAGGGAGCAGCACTAGGCATCCCAAGTTCTCTAGAGCAGAGACCTGTTTGTGGATTGTAGAGGTGGCTTATGTGGTGTGAGCAGAATACTTCCATCTTCCGTGTCCTGTCTGCAAACACCTGGAACAGCCCCAGAGGAAGTGTTTGCCCCTCTGCTGGGTCCCAGCTTGGGTCCCAGGCAGGCAGGGGCTTCACTGGCTATGCAGGAAGGGGAGGGCGTGGCCACCAAGCATGCGTGCGTGCATATGTGTGTGCGTGTGTGTGTGTGTGTGTGTGTGTGTGTGTGTGTGTGTGTGTGGGGGGGGGCCTTCAGGAGTGCTTGGTGGAGAAGCAGCCATGCCCAGCACCTGGGTGGCTTGGCTGTGCCCTGCGGGAGGTGGTCACTGTTGGAGGCCCAGCTGCAGGTGATTTTCTCCCAGCTCCACCTGCCAGCAGGAAGCTGCTTCAGAGAACTTTTCTCTCTGTCCCTCACTGTTGGGGGTGGGAAGGGGCCCTGGAGGGGAAGGAAGTTTTCTTTGATTTGCTGCATGAGAAGTGACCTGCAACGACAAGCTTTACTTTTGGAAGGTTTTCTGATGGCCGATTGCTGCTTAGACTGTGAAGTGGAGACTTTTTCTTTTAACCTCTCTTTTAACCACTTTTCTTTGGGGCCATAGGGACTTGGGGGGAGGTCATGGGGTGGGAGCAGCTTGCCTGCACTTTTGGGGGCTGATTTCTAAAGCTCAGAGAACAGTCATTCTTCTCTGCAGAACAACTTCATCAACCTCAGCTTCCTCCGCCTCTTCCGCGCTGCGCGGCTGGTCAAGCTGCTACGCCAGGGCTACACCATCCGCATCCTGCTGTGGACCTTTGTCCAGTCCTTCAAGGTGAAGCTGGGGCCCTGCGCTGGGGTCCTCTGTCATGCTTCCCCTGAGCCCTGCCAGAGTTGTCCCCTCCCCTGGAAGGCTGAGGGACAGGAGCAAGCCCAGGCGGGTGAGGGCAGGGCGTGCACCTGTGTTGGCACTGGTGGTCCTGGTGTAACACGTTTATAAAGATGCTGTAAGTTATCTATAGATTATCTTGTTAATGCTCACAGGAACTCTGAGGTGAGTTTTTTGGCCCCAGTTTCTAGACGTAGAAATGAGGCAGTCATGTGGTGGAGGGGCAGGTGGAGCTGCGGTAGGCTGAGATCTGAGCGAGGTCCACGTGTCTCTGCAGGCCCTGCCCTACGTGTGCCTGCTGATCGCCATGCTGTTCTTCATCTATGCCATCATTGGCATGCAGGTGGGTGCCGCTGTCCTGGCCATGGGTGCACACGGGGCTCCTGCCTGCTGAGGCAAAAGGGTGTTGATCATGACCATTAAATGAGGATAATAATAAGCTGACACTTAGTGGAAGTTACTGAAAAACTTAATCCTCAGAAATACTGTTTTACAGGGGAGGACATTGAGGCACCACAGGTTTGGGCTGCTTGCCCAGGGTCACCATGGTGAGGGGTGGCTCCAGCTCTTTGCCCACTGCAGTCTCTCCAGGCACACACACTGCGGCACTTGTGAGGGCTGGTGGCCTGCAGGCCCAGCAGTGTTAGGGTGTCGGACACATGTTGGATCAGGTGCTGGCATGCACAGTGGCAAAGTGTCTGAGCACATCTGCCTTATGCTGAGTGCCTGCAGAGCAGCGGTCGGTCATTCTGTCAGTCTGGCAGCAGTTCTGAGGCACCTCCTGATCCTTGACAGGAGATTGTGTGTTACTGAAGGAAACGCGCCTGAGAAGTTGAGCAGGATCACGCCAGATCACTGCACTTGATAACTGAGCTTGCATAATTTAGGTTTTCCTCATTTTGCCAAAGAACATTTTGTCAGCTATTTGGGGAAAAACGTTTAAAAGATTTGAAGCAGTGTCCCAGTTATCAACCTTTGGCATCTGGCACTTTCCAATAGCAGAACCAGGAGATGGACCCAAGTGTTAATTTATGATGGGAGGTGCCATCGTTCTAAAGGCTACCTGAAAACTGATTTTCAGACTCTATTTCAGGGGTTGAAAAGTTCTCTTGCTTTAAAATTTGCTGTGATCTGATGCTATTTAAAACAAATATGTATTTTTTCCTGCTTTGGTCTGTGAATGTGCAAGATCATATACTTGGATGTCGCTGATATTTGTGGAAATGTTCATAAATTTTTAGCCAAGTTCCAGATTTTAGGCTAAACACAATTACTGACTGATTTGCATTTTTTACCCTGAAAAAAAATCAGTTAAAATGTACAAAAAGCCCATTGTGTTATTTGCACAGAAGTTCCAAGGGAAATTTTCCAGTGACCTGCCAGAGCTGTTACCAATGTAATTATTGTTTTGGAACCCTTGGCGCGAGGGTGAACTTGAGAATGGTCCTGTTGTGAACTCAGCTCCAGGCCCCGTCCTTCCTAGTCATTCCTGCTCGAGTGCTTGGAGAGGCTCAGAGCTGGAGCCAGCACGTGCTGGGCTGTGGGACATGCGTGTGTCTAGCTGAGGCTGGGAGTGCACAGTGGCCCCTCCATGGTGGACTCTCCTGCTGAGGGCAGCCTCCTGTCCCTTGTGAGGTCCCCTGCATTGTATACACACTTGCTCCTGCCTTGTGCACCTGCCGCAGCTCCCGGAGGCCCCGCAATGTTGGCATTCTGTTGTTCTTCGCTATTTCAGGTTTTTGGAAACATTGCGCTGGACGATGATACCAGTATCAACCGGCACAACAACTTCCGGACGTTTTTACAGGCCCTGATGCTGCTGTTCAGGTGCGTCGGTCCCCTAGGCTGGCATTCACTCTCTGATCAGGGCCCCTCAGGATGGAGAAGGGAGGGTGCCACCTGTGAGGGCCTCCTCCGTCCAGCCTCAGGCCGCGCTGGCTCCCCTCAGTGGACTTTTCCAGTTCTTCCTTTCTCTCTGCTCCTCCTTTCCAAAGGCTCTTGAGTGTTGCCCCCAACTCAGGACAGACTGAAGGGAAGCCCCTAAGGGAGGTCACCTGGTGATCCCTGGGCCAAGCGGCCCCCACCACTTTGTCTGGTGACAGCCAGAAGGCCTCCAGTGACTGCAGCCTGGAGGTCTGGGAAGACGGAAGATGCTTAGCAGGGTCTCTCCTGAGGTGCTGGCCTCTAGCTTCCCTTCCGTGGGGACGGATGGCATCAGGAAAAGCAGGCAGCAGAGGGAGCGGCTTTTGATGGCTTGTAGCTGCTCAGTGCTGCAAGGAGCCCGGCTGGCCAGAGCTGCTGGTCTGAGCACACCTCCCCCTTCCACCATCTGTCATGGGAGCCACAGTTCCCCAGGCCCCGGCACACAGCGAGGTGGAACCTGGAGGGGCCAAGAGGACTCCTTGCCGGCGGCATGCCTGGGAGAGGGCTCAGCACAGTGCTGTTCTTGGCATGGCCTACCTCTGGTGACCATCCTGGTTTGCCAGTGAGTGCAGGGGCAGAGGAGAAAGTGACGAATGTGTTTCCCTGCCTCCTGGGTCTCCCTCATTTAACCACCCATGACCCTAGGGCAGAAGAAAAGTGTTCTTTGTAGAGATTTATGGTGGAGGGCGTCCTGACATCAGACCCTGCCTTGGTGCTCCTTCATGGGGTTTCAGCACTTCTGTTCACTGATGCAAATACATCAGGCTGCTGCAAGGGGGATGCACAACACAGCCCACCATGCCTGCAGGTGTGCTCTGGGCTCCCGGCAGTTCCCTGTGAGGAGGGTGAGCTCAGACCCAGACCTGCTTTGCTGGGCTGCCTAGAGAGAATTTTCTGACACTTCTTTCATTGCATAAGGCTTAGGCTTACACTTTTCCCAAGTAGTGTTCTTTCTCTGGGCTTTAACTGTTACATTAATTTTCTTTCTTCATTTATTAATATTTTGCCTCATGCACAAAAGATTCGAGGCAAACCTGTGAAGTTAGCCTTAGTTTTAAGCCTTTTGTCTCTAAGATTTCTGTTGCTCCCTGAGCTTTATGTCATATGGGAGCACCCTCACCAGTCAGGCCTGGCACAGGCTGAAGTGGCAGCCCTGCAGGAAGCCCCCTGCCCCCCCATCAGTGGGGAGTGGGCCCAGATTCTGCCCGGGGCTGGCCACACACAGGCACACAGACGTGGGACCCAGGTCTCTGCCCCTTGCAAGCCGCTGGTGCTGGCTCTGTGACCAGGAGCAAAAGTCCACGCAGAAGGGTCCCCCAGGCAGCTCTTGAGGTGGGGTGGGGGTGTTCTTGAGGCCTTCAAGGAACAGTAGAGGCTGGTGTGGCTGGAGTGGACCGAGCACGCACTGAGGTAGCAGTGAAGTCAGGTAAAGAGTGGGTAGCAGGTCTCATGGGGCTGTGGGCAGTCTTGTGAATTTTGGCTTTTGCAGTGAGGGAGGGGAGTCATTGGAGGGTTCTGGAAGCAGCAACGTGGTATGCGGTGGACGCGTGGGGCTGCTGTCAGGCTGGATTTAGGAGCCCATCTCAGCAACCTGGGGATGTCATACTTGCTTGGCCCAGAGTGCTGAGGAGTGCTGAGGGCCGGGCTGCTGCTTGAAGGTAGACGGGCTGATGGACAGGATGCAGGGCGGGAGAGGGGAGGCGAGGGTGGCACCAGTGTTTTTGGCCTGAGCCACTGGAAGGCCAGAGTCACCGTTTCTTGAAATGAAGAAGACTGGGGTGGCACGTGCCTGGGGGAGGTCAGGAGTGCAGCTGGGCTGGGCTGTGCTGTGTCCACAGAGGGGTTCCCCCGTGGTGTGACTACTGTGCAGTGAGTGATTTTTAGTTACTAGTGATTTCTCAGCTCGTGGTCAATGTTGAAATCTAGTGCCAGGGGGTTCTTTTGCAGATGCAGCCATCTGGTATCCAGGCTTTGCACATGTACAGGCTCCCCTGAGGGCTCTGCTGGAGCTGGAGGCTTCCCCCTCCTGGGCCTTCCTCTGTGGGCCTCACAGCTCTGCCCTTCTTCTCAGGAGTGCCACTGGGGAGGCCTGGCACGAGATCATGCTGTCTTGTCTCAGCAACCAGGCCTGCGACGCGCAGGCCAATGCCAGTGTGTGCGGGAGTGACTTTGCCTACTTTTACTTCGTCTCCTTCATCTTCCTGTGCTCCTTTCTGGTAAGTCCTGGTCACCGTGCCCACCCAGCACTCACGTCTGCCTGTATCAGTCCATCTCAGGCCCCCACATCCCCTGCTGACCCCTGACTTCGATCCCTGCTTCATCCAGGCTGATTCTGTGTTGATGGCCCTTGTTACCCCAGAGGTGACAACCTCATGAGTCCTAGAAAGGACTCCCTGCTTGTGAGCTCCCAAGGCCATGCCTGGACTTCCAGGAAAGGGTTTAAGTTCCCAGGGGCACTTGTCCCTGAGTTCTCAGCTTCTCAAAGGACGTGCACCACAGTGACGGTTTTTGGAGCAGCGGCACTCCAGCCAGCATGTCTGTCGTGCATAAGCAGAGGCAGTGATGGCGCAGGTGGAGAGGCAGGCAGCCTGGGTCCCGGGGCTGTGGATCTCATTCCAGGACAGCAGAAGCCTCTGGGAGCCTTGGAGCAGGGCGTGACAAGGTCTGCTCGGTGTTTTACAGCTTGGCTCTGGTTTCTTTGTGGATGGTGAGGAGAGGGGCCATGGAGAGAGCAGGAGACAGTTGGGGTGACAGTGACCTAGAGAAGGGGGTGAGGGATTGGGTGGGGTTGGGCTGCATTTTAAAGGTAGAGCTGACATGACTGATCATTGGATATGGGCATGAGAGAAAAGAGAAAAGAAAGTCGCATCCTGGGGTTTTCTGGGATGGTGCGGCGAGTGCTTTCCCTCTGAGATGGGAAGATTGGGGAGCTGTAGGTGTGGGGTTAAGGAGGGAGGGAGCAGAGATGTCTAGACCTCTGGCTGGAAGTGTAGGTCAGTTGTCATTAGTGTCTGGTGCATTTATGGGGCTGGATGGTACACTAGCACTCCAGGTTCATGCCACGCGAGGTGTAGTCCAGTGACCTTAAGTGTCACCTGAGTACTTGTTAGAAATGCAGATCCCTGGGCCCCTCCCCAGACTTACTGTGTCAGTATCTCTGGGAGAAAGATCCGGGAATCTGAGTTTTAACAAGCTCTCGTGGTGATTTTGTGTGCTCAACCTTGAAGTGTGTAGACATAGAGAAAGGATGTGGACTGAGAAGACTCTGCCCTGGGGACATGCAGGGGACAGAGAAGAGCACTGGACCCAGAAGCTGGAAGAGCAGTCAGCGAGGCAGGTGGACAGCCAGGAGAGGACAGAGCCCCAAAGCCCAGGGGGATGTGTCTCAAGAGGGAGGGAGTGACCAGCCGTGTGAAGTGTTGTCAGAAGGTGGAGTGAGAGGGTGACTGAGACTTGCTCATGGGCTGTGGAAAGGTGAGATGACACCCAAGCCCTGTTGCCATGGGCTGGAAGAGAGAATGGGGTGAGGGCAGCGCCGAGGAGGCACTGAGGTCTGTGGTCACAGCTGCCACGTGGGACCAGCCAGAGGCCACCAGCGCCCTTGGTGAGATGACACCCAAGCCCTGTTGCCATGGGCTGGAAGAGAGAATAGGGTGAGGGCAGCGCCGAGGAGGCACTGAGGTCTGTGGTCACAGCTGCCACGTGGGACCAGCCGCACCGCGTGTTCCTCTCTAGCCACGCTCACTTCTCGGCACATGGCAGAGAAGTGCATTGTCCGGTATCGGGTTTCCCAGACTACTGTAAGGAGGGCGGGGAGGGTGTACGTGGACTGTGGCAGTGGTGCTGGATGTGGGGTCAAGGCTGGGGACAGCGGGAGGGGGAGAGGGCAGGGACCCTGGATTGGAGGTTCTTGTGTGGACAGGGGTTGGGATGCGGGTGTCAGCAGAGGTGGGCTGGAAGGACAGGATATGCGGGCAGAGAGCAGGACATGTGAAGTGAGGACTCGGGGGCAGCGGTGGGGCTGTTGGTGGTGGCCGGAGATGACCAGGGTAGCCTGTGGTCACAGGAGTGAGCAGCTAAGATGGGGGGTGAGAAGGTCGAGGGATGCAGAGGCCAGGCCGTGCTCGGTCCCCTCTCTGTGGGTAAGAGTAGAAATGTGGAAAACCAGCAGGCCAGGTGCTGATCCCCCACGGAGGGAGGGAGAGGTCAGGGGGTGACGTGAGCATTGAAGAGCGGGTCCGTGCTGCAGCTGAGCGGGGAGGAACGGAACGCACTCAGGGGGATGGGGACGTCAGCGTGACCGACGGGGGCTGTGCATCTGGGCAGGGGCGGCAGGAGGTGGGGCGGTTGAGCGGGTCCGTGCTGCAGCTGAGCGGGGAGGAACGGAACGCACTCAGGGGGATGAGGACGTCAGCGTGACCGACGGGGGCTGTGCATCTGGGCAGGGGCGGCAGGAGGTGGGGCGGTCAGGAAAGGTGGGCGCTGCAGACAGGTGAGCTTGCACGTGGATAGAGGAATGCAGAAAAATCGACAGCACTGTCTCACTAGAGGGCAGAAACCAAGGGAAGGATTTGCATGTTGGGGTCATCTCCTGATTCCTCAGCAGACCCCTGTGGACAGCAGGGAGGGTGGGCTCTCTGGAGAGTCATTGTCCTCTAGGCAGTGGAGGCATCGGTCTCTATGCTGCTCAAAGACATCAGGTGCTGCAAGAGCCAGCCTCCATGGGCATGAAGGCAGCCCACCAGCCTGGCCTCACTGTGTGCCTGGCTGCAGAGACAGGGCTCCATAGAGAGCCACACTCACAATGTCACAATGCCTAAACATGTCTAGGGGCCAAGCTCCCTGGGGTGAGGGAGTCCTGAGGTCCCGGTGCAAGGCCTGTGGGAGAGCAGGTCTGAGCAGGTGTTGCTGGGGCAGAGGGACCTCTGCTGTGCCGACAGCTTCCCACACAGACACTGGCTGGAGGGCACAGGCCAGAGGGCAGGCTGAGGTCTGTCCACGTCACCTCTTCTCCTTCCTGTCCTGCAGATGTTGAACCTCTTTGTGGCTGTGATCATGGACAATTTTGAGTACCTTACGCGGGACTCTTCCATCCTAGGGCCTCACCATCTGGACGAGTTCATCCGGGTCTGGGCCGAGTATGACCCAGCTGCGTGGTGAGTGGGCCCCGGAGCTCTGTGGTCCTCAGGTTTTGGTGCGGGGCCCGGGGGTCCACCCTGCTTCACATAGGATGGTGCTCAGAGGTGCCCTTCCTGGGGGCGCTTCCTTTTCAGGCTTGTGTGCCTTCATGCAGCTCCCTGGGCTCAGAAACGGTCTTTTGAGACCCTCTGTTTGGCCCTTAGGAAGGTGCCTGGGGTCATGGAAGGTTTTTAGGGGATTTGTGAGGCTTGGGGCTCTTACTGAACAGGAATTTACTGTCTTCTCCCCAGGCCTGTCACTGAGGTTGTGGAGGGCTTGGCGGGAGGGGGCGGGGGAGGAGACAGCATGGCCACTCTCCCCATGAAGCTCAGAGGGCTTTGAGGACAGAAAAGATGGGGGTTTCAGGACATTACCCCTGAGGGCCTCAGGGATCTACCTCCCTGCCATTTCCCAGGCTTCATGTGGGGGTCGCTTGGTGAATTTCCATTGGAATCAGAGGAGCTATTGGGAAGGTGTCAGTGTTTCAGACCCTCTGGTCATGGTGAAAGCGTTACTGTGTTGTACAAGTGAGGGGTGATTTGTTTCTGGACAGTGCAAGGGTCTCAGGAAGGGAGTGGTCTGGGGTCAGAAGTGCAGTGGGCAGTCCTGCGCACCGCAGCAGTCTCCCTCGGGGCTGGGCTCCCATGCAGGAAGGACGGCAGGCGCAGCAGCCCAGATCCTCCCCGTCCATTCCTGCACTCACTCGCTCGCTAGCTCTCAGGCTGCGGCTGCTGAGGACTGCTCTCTGCAAGGCAGAGCACAGGAGGCGGAGGGGCCCAGGGACCTCGCTCTTGGGTAGGACACAGGCCTGCCCAGTGCCTTGCTCACGGTGAGTGCTCAGGCGGCTGGGAAGAGCAGCTCTGGTGGGAGGGTGGATGCCTGCGCCTCCCCGGCCCCGGGGCTGGGAAGCTGTGGGGCCGGTGCAGCTGCTGCCATCTCCTCTCTGGAGCTTCCCGGCCCACCGTGTCCTCCTCACACAGCTCTGCGTTCAGCACCCTTGCTGTGGGAGACACCTGGAGGGGGCGGTCAGACTCCTTGTGGTGAGGATCCAGAAGGTGCTGCATGAGGCCCTTCCCGGTCTGGACAGCATCAGGGACCCTGGGGTGCAGGCCCCTCCTGTCCAGGCCTTCCAGGCTCACAGTGCCTCTGTGTGTGTTTTCCACCTTGGTGAGAAGTTTACAAGTCTACACAGTGTAGAACGAGCATAGCAGTTATTTATGGTCATGGTGTTTGAGGACGTTTTCATGGCCTTGGAGAGGCCTTTCAGGTCTGGGGCATCAACACGTTTGCCCTGTGATACCCAGCGCTCCTGCCAGACGCCCAGCTCAGAGATATTCACACAGAGTCTGTGGTCAGGAAGGCCCATCAGATTGGAGGGAGACTGACCACACCTAAGGCCTAGACCTTGTCGGGCAAAGGGCAGGAGAGACTCCAAGTAAGGACTTGGCTAAGTTCCAGGACAAAGTTGCTGCTGCTTCCAGGAATGTTTCTCTATTGTGAGGAGACCGTATTGCAGAAAAGAGGTACTTTATAGGCTGTAATTTGTACTAAGAGGCAAAAGCAGGTGGTAATGGCCAGTGAGAAGGAGATGACATCTCCCAGTCTTTGTGAACAGTACCCAGGTTTTTCACAGGTGGCTGCAGGCAAGAGCAGCACAGGATGCGCAGGATGCGGACTTGGGCCAGACTGCAGCTTTGCTGTCATGCAGAGAGGGTTCAGACTGTTTCCCAAATTCCAGAGTTTGAGAACTGGTGCCCCTAGAAGGTCTAGGCAGTTGGAGATATGATAAAGAAAGTGCTTATCAAACATGGCAGAATATAAGCTTCACCCCAGAGGTGGCACGTACAAGATCACACACAGGGCCTGTACTTGCCTTGAAGTGGTGTATCTTAAGCAGCACACACCACTGTGCTCCCATGAGTGGCCTAGGCTGAAACATAGCTCGCCTCCAGATGGGTAGAAGAAGCGGAGGAGACTCAGCGAAGGCAGGCAAACAGATTGGGTCTGGACGCTACATCCTTGGCAGAACAGAGGGCAC